ATGTGACTGCTTGTGACTCTGAGAAGTCAAATGGTGTTTCTTTTCCCACATTCTACTGGTCAGATTGGTCACAGTCTATCTAGATTTGAGGGGTGGGAACAAAGACTTCTGTATGTGAGGAATGCTAAAGAATGGGTGGCCATGCTTTAAAACCATCATAGGTGGGAAGCTTTGTCACATGATGCCACTCTAGAACCCAGGATGGTTTGGTTGGAGAGGGCACAGTGTCCTCTGCCATTTTCATCATGTAGCTTTCATCTCTGGTTTCAAGATAAATTGACCCGTTGTTGCTGCATCACAGCCAGAGAACCAGAGTAGAAGGCAAGAAGTTCCATATAGAAAGTAGTCATTGGTGGAGTTTATACTTTGCATGTACAAGTCCTTGGGTTCAGTCCTCAGCACCATGAAAACAAAACAAAAGGAAAACCTTGAACATATTGCTCCTGCTTACATCTAACTCTTAGTTGTGCTGCTATACCTAGCTGCAAAGGAGGCTGGGAAATGTAGTCCCTAGCTGGATAGCCATGTGCCCAGCTACAGCTTGATGGAATACTGTTACTAAAAGGAAACAAAAGAGACCAAGTATTGGGGACAATAATTTTTTTGCAACAGTATGTATTTTTTAATGTATGAGTGTGTGTGTGTGTGTGTGTGTGTATTTTTTTTCATGCATATAGAAACAGATCTATATAGAATATAGAATACAGGGAGTAGGGAGGTAAATCAAAGGGTACATTGTTTCAGTTGTACAAGATGAATAAGACCTGAGGCTTATTCATCTCACTGCATAGTATAGTGCCTACAGTTAACTATACTGTGTTATATACATACACATTTTCCAAGAGGATAGATCTTTTGTTATGTGCTCATATTACATAGAAGTGGTAATAAAGGGGCTGGGGTTGTGGCTTAGTGGTGGAGCGCTCACCTCGCACATGCCAGGCCCTGGGTTCGATCCTCAGCACTACATATAAATTGATAAACTAAAGGTATTATGTCCAACTACAACTTAAAAAAAAATATATTAAAAAAAAAACCTAGAAATACATGGACCATAGCTTGGCAGAGTACATAGAAGAAGGGCTAGCCAAGTGCGGCAGTGGACACCTGTTTTCTAGCTACTCAGAAGGCTACTCAGTAGGAGGATGGAAAGTTTGAGGCCAGCCTTGGCTACATAGTGAGATCTTGCAGAAAGAAAGAAAGAAAGAGAGAGAGAGAGAAAGAGAAAGAGATATGTTGGGGAGAGGGGGAGAGGAAGGAGGGAGAAAGAAGATCTAGAAGAATTTGATAACAATGGTTATTTCTGGAAAAGAAGGATATTCAAAGAAGAACTTGCAGTTTTCTTGCCTCAGCTTCTTGAGTTGTTGGGATTATGTGTTCATTTTTTTCCACATGAAGCAATTTTTTTTTTTGTATTTTTTAATGAGCTCATGGAAGTGATGACAAGTCCTGGTTTTGTTCACAGCCTTGAAGGGAGTGTCTCTGTCCTGTCCCTCTAAAGCAAACACAGCTGGGCAGATGAGCATTTGGAGTTGATTACCAAGTCTTCCTGCTTTCTTGAAGCCAGAGAGGTTCTATGACATAGCGTTTTAATTTTTAACAAGGATAATGTCTTCATGTTTTACTTGTGAAATTAAATATTAATTCACGTTGAGGAGGGCCTGGTGAGCATTTGGCTGCTGATTGTGTGGCCTTCACCTTATCTCTCCATGGTGGAACCCAACACCAGAGTGCTGGGAGGCAATGTGGCCCTTTATCTCCCTGGAGCTGCTCATCTGAAGGTCCCACCTTGTGGAAGGTTTCTCTCTGTTCCAGTGATCCCTCTCCTGTTCTGGTGGGTTTCCTTTGTTACTAGCAGATGTTCCTTGCACTTGAGGGCTGTGTTTCACTGAAGAATTCAGAAGTGATTCACACATAATCTTTCTCCACACAGATAACTTATTTTATTTATGTATTTTTGGTGCAGGGAACTTGAACCCAGAGCTGGCACTTGTGAGGCAAGTGCTCTGCCACTGAGCCTCAGCCCTGAGATAACTTGCTAATGACAAATAGAGTTGGTCACTGTGAGGCTGGGGTATGTCTCAGTGGTACAGTGCTTGCCTAGCATGCATAAGTCTTGGGCAGCCCCGAAAAAAAATAAAGAAAGAAAGAAAGTTGGTCAGTGTACAGTGAATACTCTGGTAGATGGACACCTTCACCGTGTAATCACAGTCAACATCACAGGCACCATGTCCCTTCTGACGGAGGCTCTGGGGACACAGCATCATGGGAGTGGCATTCCAGCCCCAGTGTATAAGCATAATCTAATCAAGAGGAAACATCAGGCAAACCTGGGCTGAGGGTTGTTCTCCAAAGCTCCTGGACTGAACTCTCTAGACACATCAATTCCTGAGGCCTGGGGCTGTGGCTCAGAGGTAGAGTGCTCGCCTAGCATGTGTGAGGCACTAAGTTCCATCATTAGCACCACGTAAAATAAACTAAAGGTATTGTGTCCACCTATAACTAAAAAAATAAATATTTAAAACAAACAACCCCATCAATTCCTGAAAGACAAGATTGAGGCACCATCGCAGGTTAAAAGAAGCTGGAGACACTAGCAGTAATAATGAAAGGCACCAGACTGAGTTGGATCCAGGCTCTGGAGGGAAGTGCCATGAAAGAAAGCGATACCAGAATGTGAATTGGCATGGTCTTTGAGGTCACAGCATTGCACTGTATCAAGGTTGAATTTTCTGTATTTGATCATTGTATTCTGGACATATAAGATAATATCGTTGTTTCTAGAGACACATTGAATTATTTAGAAGTAGAAATTGTGTTGTCTATAACTAAATCCCAAATATCTAAGATAACATGGGAGTGGGCAAAATTTTTGGTAAAAGACCAAAAGAAGAGTTTAGGCTTTGGGGGACATATGGTCTTTGTCATAGCCACTCACTCTGCTGTTTTAGTGCCAAAGCATCCATGACCATATGTAAATGAATGGGCGTGGTTGTGTGCCAGTAAAACTGGACATATGGATACTGCAATTCCAACTGCATATAATTTTCATGTGTCACAAGATATTCTTTTGATTTTTCTTTTTCAACCCTACACAACCCATTTCCTTACTGCCCATACAAAATTAGAGAGCCAAATTTGGCCCATGGGCTGTAGTTTACGGATGCCTGATATAGAAAGAGGACACACAGAGGTGATAAGCAAATGCAATGTAATGAAAATGAAAATAGTGGGTAAATGTGGGTCAAGAATATAGAGAAGTTTTTTTTATTCTTACGATTCTGCAAGTTTAAAATTATTTAAAATTTAAAACAAAAACAAGATTTCCTTCTTTGGGAGTCCCAGAGAGAGAGAGAGAGAGAGAGAGGGGGGCAGGCTACTGATTCTTCTGTCTTCCAGGTGGGTGGCCAGGGTGAATCACTCATCACTGGATTTCACTCCTAATTATCTGTCCACTTGACCGACTTCACTGCTTCCTCATTTTCTGGTTGAACCTTGTATCTAGAGACCCTGCCTGGTAGGTGTGGGAGTTTAGGCTCTGTCCCCATTAGCCAACCATCCCCACCTCTGCCTTTGTTAAAAATGTTTCCTCAACAGCCAAAAAAACAGCCTTTTAAATTGTGTCCATTGGCTTATTGATTTTAATTTCATGTTCCACATTTCCTATTAGTTTCTTTCCTCAAAGCAGCAATTCAAGAAATTACTGTGTTACATTCTCCCAGCATTGGGATGAAGTCTCTGTGGCTCTGAATGGTTATTTCCAAGAATGAGATAGCAAGTTTATTGAATTAATGTGTCTGGGGGAGGGAGGGTGGCTTTAAGGGAGGAGGTATGTTCTTTTTCTAGTTGACTCAGCACTCTCTCCCCATTGCCAGGATCAGAAACTGAAGTCAAAGTGAGTAGTAAGTGAAGGGGAATTTATCAATTCATAGACCCCAGGGTATTGGATAACATGTCTTTGAGACTTGCCTAGACCCAAGAGCCAAAATTAATTTTCTGTCTCTATAACAAAATATCTAGTTTGGGTGCTTTATAAGGGAAAGAAGTTTATTTTGGCTTATGATTTTGGAGGCTGAAAAGTCCAAGCTTAAGTGGTTACATCTTGCAAGGGCCTCTTGCTGTCTCATAACATGGAAAATGGCATCAAATGGTGGAGGCATGTGTGACGGTGGCCAGTGGGTACCTGTGGAAGAGCACATGTTTAAGTGAGAGTCAGGGGAAGGTCCAACCTTGCTTATAACAATCTGCCCTCATGAGTACTAACCCAACCCATTGAGACATTACTTACTCCTGCACAATAAGCTATCCCTTTCAAGGGTAGTATTCCCATGACCTAATTACCTCCTACTTGGTCCACCCTCTTAAAAGTCCTACCACCTCTCAGCACCATTACATTGGTGACCAAGCTTCCAGCACATAAACCTCTGGGAGACAAATCATATCCAAACCATAGCAGATGCTATGAGAATTCCATCTCTTACCATCTCTCAGTTCTGTTTTCTGTGTGACTTCATTTTTAGAAAGGCTCTCCCCTCTCAGAGTCCATGTGTAACTTCTACCAGATTAGCAAACCTAGGGGGAAAAGAACATCTCTAAGCCAGTCCTGCTAGCCAAAGTCCCAGGGTCGGCTCTCACTGGGTCAGCAGGAGCCATGTGTTCAACTCTGAACCCAGCAGTTGTTAGGGAACTGGAGGATACTGGTTGGCCAGGCCAGGGTCGCATGACCACCCTTAGAGTGGGACCTCAAGTTTTACCAAAGCATCTGGACAATGAATTGATTAGACGTAGCCCCTCAGTGGCATATTTAATTGATGTTAGCATCAGAACGAATAGAACCTGGGCAGAAAAAAGCAGCAGTTACTTATGACACAGGCACTGTGTCATGCTGCTTTTTGACAGCCTGTGACCTCTGTAGCCATGTCTCCTGACCACAAGCAAACTATAAAAAACGGCCTGTTAATGTTCCCCCACAAAACTACCCTGGCCACTCCATCCTTCAGGAGACCCACAGGATCTACAGGCAGAAGCTGGAGGAGCTGACAGCACTGCAGGCCTTGTGTAGCAGTTCCATCCACAAGCAGAAGAGGCGGCTCAAGGACTTGAAGCACACGCTCCAGAGGTAGGTGGGGCTGCAACTTAGTGGTTTCCTCATTGTTTAATGACAGAATACCATCTCAAAACTGGCTTAAACAGAGAATGGAAGTTCTAATGGGAAAAAAAGCAGGAGTACCTTCAGACATTGCTGGATCCAGGGATCAAAGGGTATTTGTTGGAATCTGTGTTTTTCTCTAAATTCTGTCATCCTCCAGATTTGCTTTGCACTCAGGCTGACTGTCCCCTCCTGGTCACTGAGATGGCCACTTACAGTAACAAGTTTAGATCCTCTAGCCTTCTTTCCTACTGCATTGTTTCCACCCTCCAACAGAATGAAAACTTGTCTCCCCTAGAGCTTTAGCAGAAATCCTGGGATTGATCCTCATGGGCTAGGCTTGGTCATGTGCCCATCTTTGAACCAGTCCCTGAGACTGCTTGAGTAAGACTGTGTCATATGCTCAGTCTATGGTGAGTGGGAAAGCCCTGCTTGATCTAAATGGAGGGGGGAAAAGAATGAGAGGAGGTTTCTCAGATGAAAGCTGGGATGCAGTTGAAAGAAGTCTTGCTGGCCAGGTTTACAGCAGGTATTCTCACAGATGTGGGGTGCTGTCCCCACCAGGGTCTCTGGTTTTGGAGGTACTAGGTTGGAGTCCCAGGTTGCGGTCCCAAGAGTACCTGAGTTCAGTTCTTGAGCCCAGATCATGTTCACTTCTCAGTCCTCATGTCTTCATGGTTTGGGAAGCTCATCTCTTGTAGGTAAGGCAGCCAATGGATGCCTTCATCCCCCAAGGCAGGCAGGGAAATTGAGGCTTTAAGTGACGTGACCAGGTCACTTATGTGGGCCTCTCTTTTCGTGCCTCCTGATCAATTCTCCCTTCCTTTGCGGGCAGTTGTTGGAGAAGGTGTTGATCAGATCCCTTGCCTTGGCTGCACATTTTGGAATCAGGGGCTCATAAGGGGTTGAGGAGTAAGGGGTCATGGATCATCATGTAGACACATCGTTAGGCAAAGCACAGCTTTCTGATGGCAGCCTCCAGAGTCCCATCTATTTTCAGCCCAGAGTTTTTCAGCCTCAACACCATTGATTATTCTGTGCTATGAAGGACTGTTCTGGGTGTTGTAGGAGGTTTAGCAGCATCCAGCCTCTACCCACTGGGTACCAGTGGGGCTCCTCACCCATGTTGTGACAACCAGAATGTCTCCAGACATTGCCCAGTGTCCCTAGTTGTGAAGCACCAGGTTGCAAGGTTGACCTGTGAGTTAGGGCCCTAGACCAAGGACCCCTCCCACCATCCTAAGGGTGCCATGTCTCCAGACTTTGTTTTTCTAGTTTTAAGAGTTACATCTCTCCAGATGGTGACAGTCAGACTGTGATCACCTGCTTATACTTCTACACATTTTCCTGTAGAATAGTGAGGAAAAAAAAAGTTTTGCCAGCTGATTATTGAGATCCTACTGTGTGCCAAGTATCATTCTGGGCTTTATACTGTGTTTACTGAATCATTCTCAAAGGCTATTGTCTATAAGGAAGGGCCTGCTTCTATCCCTACTTTTCCAGTATGGAAAATAAGGCAAAGAAATTCAAGGACTTTTCCAAGGTCACAAGGCTACTGGGAGCCAGTGTCAAGCCCAGAGGGTACAGATGGAGAACTGAGGTTGCGAGAGGCCCTGCTTGGGGTGGACATGTGGAGAGGTCCCTGCTCTTCCTCCATCTCTGAGTAATGCCCTATCTCTATGCCCACACCTCCCATTGCAGGTACAAGCGCCATGCCAGCCAGGAGGAGGCAGAGCTGGTCCAGCAGATGAGTGCCCACATTAAGGAGCGGCAGAATGTCTTCTTTGACATGGAGGCCTACCTGCCCAAGAAGAATGGGTAGGAGCGGGACCCATCCCAGCCCTGTTGTGGGACTCTCACCTCCCTTCAGGGGCCTGAGGTTGAGAGGAAATGGGGAAGCGAGAAAGGAAGGAGAAGGACGCTTCCCTACATGTCTTCTGAGTCCAGAAGAGGCCATCAGCCCCTGCCAGATGGTAGTAATGTTCCTGGGAGGACTCTTACAAGGAACTAGTACCTGCTGCATGTGTGTGCCACCTGGGGTCAAGTGGGTTGGTGTTCTATACCAAGAGAACCAGTGTGTATTGTATGCCTGTTGCACGCCCAGCATTGCACTGGAAGCTCCTATGGTATCAGTCATTTTATTCTCAATAACCTGGTGCATCAGATCATGGTATCTCCATTTTTACAGGATTCAGAAACATTATGGAATATCTGGCCAAGGGGGCTCAGCCTAGGTTCAGCCAGCCCAGGATGTGAATGTGAGACATCCTGACCTTGACCCTGTCTCCTGGTTCCCTAGTGCTGAGTCAGAGCCTCCACCCTTTAGGCCCACAGTGGGATGGAAGGCAGCTCACTAGCCCTATTACATTTTGAACCATTCTCCTAGTGTCTCCTTTTTTGTTCTATGTGGATTAAAAACTTCCGTGAGTTAGGTGGCAGTCATTTTCTACAGGATGAAAGAGCAGCCCAGCATTCTTGACCTTTTTTTTTTTTTCCCCCTCTGTACTGGGGATGGGACCTAGGGCCCCACACATGCTAGGCAGGTGCTCTACTAAGCTATGCCTCCAGACCTTTGATTTTTTTTTTTTTTTTTTTTTTTTTTTTTTGCAGTGCTGGGATTTGAACTTAGGGCCTCACATATGCTGAGCAAGTACTTTACCACTGAGCCACATTCCTGGTCCCCAATTTTTTTTTTGCTTTTCACACAGGGTCTTGTTATGTTACCCAGGCTAGCCTTGGACTTATGATCCCTGTGTCTCAGTCTCCCAAGTAGCAGGGATTACAGGAATGCACCATTGCTCCTGACTTCATGATCCTCTTTGCAGTGTTGCTCAAACTTCTGTCCTTGGCTTCTCTCTCCTCAGTTCTTTGTGCATTTGACACCAGTTAGAAATTTTAATGCTACAAATGATAGAAAGCCCAACTCAAAGTTGCCCCTAAGAACAAGTGGAGGATTTATTGGCTCCTGTAACTGAAAAGTCCAGATATAACTTCAGATATTGCAAGATCCTGCTGCTCAAATGATACTCTTAGGACTTGTCTCTTATTTAGCTTTTTTTTAAAACTTTCTTTTCTAATGTGTATATTTCATTTATAGGCAGACTTTCTTTATAAACTGGTCCCCAGCAGCCCTGGGTTTATATCCTACCTCTTAAGTAGTTCTAGTAGAGACACTCTGTTTCTCAGTGCTTCTGGGAAAGAATCTCATTGGCCAAAATTGTAACACATGACCATTCTTAACCAATCATGAGGATGTATTGCTTTAACTAGCTGAGCCAAGGTCATGTACTTTCCCCTTGGGTCTAAGTGGGGTAGTGATTCTCTTGCTTTGCCCTTTAAGAAAATAGGGATTAAATGCTGGGCAGGAGAGAATGTCCTCATTATACTTTCGCTCCCATTATAGCCAGTTGGAAATGTCTTGAAAATCAACTCATAGCTAGGAAGATGGCTTTTCTGTTTTTTTTTTTTTTTTTTCTCCTCTCAAGCTTACTATTCAAAGCCTAATTCAAATGTCACCACCTCAGTGAAGCCTTTCCAAACCACTGTCCTTGTGTGGGATTTGTCCATCCTCCCTTGAGGTCCTGTTTGTGCTTTTGTTAGTGTATTAGAGAACAGGCTTTTTTGATGGAGGCCCAACCATAGGATGGCTCCACGAGAGAGAGCCTTTCCTCTCACATGTGCCACCCAGGGATGAATGGGTCAGAGCACTGGGCTGAGAGGTCATCTGAGGACTCAGCATCCTTTAACAGACGGCTTCTCCCTCATGGGGGGTTGTCCTGACATGCATGTACAAATCTGGCTCCCCCTGCCACCCTCCGCTCCAGTTAACTGGAAGGGGAAGGAGAGCAAGAAAGCAAGAAAATCCCCTTTTACAGAAAATGTTTGCCATTTCCTATGGAAGGTGAACACATACCTACATTATGACCCAGAAATTCTCTTCCTGGTCACATACCCAGGGAAAATGGGTGTTTATATCCTCCAGAAGACTGTATATGAACACTCTTAACAAATTAGTGAGACACAAAAGATCATGTATTGTATGACACTATTTATATGAAATGTCCAGAATAGGCAATACCATAGGGACAGAGTAGATGAGTGGTTGCCAGGGATTGGGGGAGGCAGAGTAGGGAAAGTCTGCTGATGGGTGCTGGGTCTCATTTGGTGGAAATGTTATGGAATTAGGTGATGGGGATGGGTGCACAGCATTATAACTATGTTAGAAGTCACTAAATTGTATACTTTAAAAGGACAAAATTATATTATGTGAATTATGCCTTAATTTACAAAAAAGTATGTTCACAACTAGCCAATAACTAAAAGCATATGGATAAACCTGGAGGACATTATGGGCAGTGAAATAAGCCAGATGCAAAAAATACTGTATGATCTCACTTACATGTGGAGTTTTAAAAAAGTGAATATATAGAAAAAGAGAATGGAAAGATAGTTACTAATGACAGGGGTTCAGGGCAATTGGGGAGATGTCAATAGCAACAGACTTGTTACATAGCTTGACTAAGTTTAGAGATGTTTTTGTTGTTGTTGTTTATTTGTTTTTTACAGGGGTGGGGATGAAACCCAAAGTCTTGTACATTCTAGGCAAGTGCCCTCTCAGTCTTGAGGACTGACCCACAACAGTAGGGGGACTGTTCTTAAAAATATTGTCTTACATGTTGGAAATTTACTGAAAGATTTTCAGTACTCTTGCAACACACTGAACAGCAACCAAAAACCGAAAATAAACCAAATGTTCATCAAAAGTAGAAGAAATGAATCAGTGGTGGTGTAGCCACCCATAGAATACTGCTTACCATGAAAAAGAAGGAAGGACCAAAACGCCCTCTCCACCATGCGGCCTGCGCATTGGTTTCATTAATGAGGTTCTTGGCATAAAAGTTAGCTAGCAGAGATCGAAATAAAACACACAGACTCAGTTACCTTTTTCTATGACCAGGTCCAAGACGGCTCCCCTCTCTGGCTCCAACCTCGAACCACCCGTAGGGCAGCAAGGATTACTCAGGGCTAGCAGGAGAGAGAGAGAGCGAGCACGCCAGGGAGTAGCCTTTTATTGGGGAACAAGAAATTCAGGGGATAATTCCATCTAATGAAGGTTGAGGGGGGGGCCGCACTCCAAGGTCAGGGTCAGTGATTGGGCCCCCGGGGTCAGTGGTCAGTCACACCCCCACACGGACGGGTTCTCTCATCAGGAGAGGGCCGGGAAAATTCCGACACAGCCAGAAGCCTCAGACCCAAACCAGGAGTCACCCAGTCACGCGTGAGAATGGCTCCCCACAGCCCTCCACATGGATGTAGCTTGGAATATGGAGGGAAGGAAGACAAGTTAAAAGATTCTACCCTCTGTATATATAGGTGAAGTTCAAAAATAGGCAAAATGAATCCATGGTGATAGAAAAAAAGACTGGGGGAAGCTGACCTGGTTGGGCATAAGGGAGCCTCCTGGGGCTGGAAATGTCTTATTCTTTGACCTGAGTGTTGGTTACCTGTACAAATATATAAAAATTCATCATGCTTGTGCTTAAGACATGTATACTTATGAAGGTTATGCCTTAATTTTAAAGACAATCCTAGCTGGGCATGGTGGTGCATGCCTGGAATCCCAGTGACTCTAGAGGCTGAGGCTGGAGGATTACAAGTTTGAGAACAGCCTCAGCAACTTAGGACAACCCTGCCCTATCCCCACCCCTGCAAAAAAAAAAAAAAAAAAAAAAAAAAAAAAAAAAA